TGGCTTCCGCAGTGCTCCTCTTGACAGCATCTGCACAGAGAAATCTGGGAGCAGATCCAGGCATCTGCTCATTTCAGTTTGTTTTTGTAATTTTTTGAGTGAAACAAACAAACAGAGAAGATCAGATGGTGAGAATATTAGAAAACCATTAGAAAATGGGCCAGCATTCTGCATCCTCCCCATGCATCTTTCTCAGGTGCCAGACTTTGCAACTCCACTACCTTCAACCAGTCTTGGGTCCAGTTTTTCCTATTATTCACTGACAAGATGTAGAGAGACAAGACCCTCCTCCAGGAGTCTGCAGGCTCAACCAGCCCCAGACAAAATAATGTGAACATGTGTGCTACTTTGGCTGCCGCCAGAGTTCAGTGCAGGATGAGGTAATCCGGTCATTCCTGAAACACAAGATGCTCCAGCATCTGGTTGCTGCTGGAGATGGCCTAAGTGCGAAAGTGGACAGAAGTTAGGATTGCTCCTCTTTGCCAAGCAGTTCTTTGGGACATTACAGGTGGTCTGACCCCAGGCTCTGGATTTCAGTCCTGCAGCATAATCTGGCACTGGGTTTGACCTCAGGAGGGCTTTGTGGTTGAGCACCAGCCATTCCAATGGACAATCCAACTACTTGGGCTTGAGTGGCTACCTAAACAGAACAAATTGCGATTTGATTATAAATATCCTTCCAAGTTCAAGGATATTAAAAAACATATTTTTCTTTCACACCACTTCCATAGATGAGAGGCAAGAAGAAACTAGAGCAATCACCAGACTCCAGGCCAACAGACCTAAGCTCCACCATGATGCAAAGTCACTTCTCCAAGAATTTCCAGAGGGAACTTCACACCAAGTCTTCTAAATTCTCAGTCCTAATCTCTGCTTTTGCCCAACAAATGTTCTGCTTTGTGCTCACCTGGCTTGAAGGAACAATACAGAGTAACCACAACTAGACTGTAGCATCCCATGAGGACCCTTGATCTTGAATGTTGACCATTTACCAAACATACTTCATTCCCAGCCCTCTCCAAAGTGAGAAGAGGCAGGAAAGCACCCACACTTTGGTCACTCAGTCCTCCACAGAACCCTGCCTCACCATATCCTATGACCCTGTTCACCAGTACAGGCTAGGAACTGCTCTACTGAAAAGGACATGGGTGTTATGATGGATCTTAGGCTGAAAAAGAACCAGCAAGCAGTGTGCACTCATTGCAGACAGGGCGAAGTACATACTATGCCACATTGGGAGGTTTGTGGTCAGCAGATGGAGGGGAGTTATTACCTCCATCAATTCATCACTGATGAGGTGTCCATTTTGGGAGCACTCTGTTCAGAGGAAAGTTGAAAGACAGGAGAGGGTCCAGCAGAGGCTTTACCAGGATGGGAGGAATGCACCAGTACAGCCTGAGGCCAAACAGCTGGAAAGCGGCTTTGCAGAGGACTTGGGGGTCCTGGTAGACACCAAGTTGCACATGAGCCAGCGATGCACCTTTGTGAGAAAGAAGGCCAACAGCCTCCTGGGTTGTCTTAGGAGGATCATTGCCAGCAGGCCGAGGGAGGTGATCCTTCCCCTCTGCTCAGCACTGGTGAGACACATCAGGAGTGCTGTGTCCAGCAAATGCACAGAGAATTGGGAATCTCTTCTCGTAAATCTCAGTTCCCCAGCTCTTTATTTCAGAGAGCTGGAAGCCTTCTGCTTTTGTCAGGAGGTGTGGAGGAGTTCAAAAGCTTGAGAGTTACGGCTAGCAGGGATTTGTAGTTCATTAGCCCAACAAGCAAGCTTTTAGTGGCTGGGCAGGAAAAGGCTTTGGCACTTGTCAGGGAGGCTCAGAGCTGCTGTGATGCTCTCTGGACCCAGTTAGGACTGTCCCTGCAAAACATTTGTTTTTGGCCAGCAGAAACTCTCCTGAGGATCCACTTTTCACTTGAAGCCTTCTGACCTAGGTAGCTTTCTCCTCTGCTTTCTACATGGCCACCAACAGCTTGGAGCATCTCACAGGCAATGTGACACCTTCAGTCCATCCTCCTAATCCCCATAAGCAGCAAAAAGAATTAGTGCATGTAGAAAGCCAGCTTCCAGAGGATGGGGCATGCATGGGGGAGCTGGATATCCGGACCCCCTTAGTAATTCAAGCCTTCCTCATTGAGACACAGCCCAGGCACACTGCGGTTCCTGTGAGCACTGGAAGATGTGTTTGCAGTTCCTTGTCTCCTAGCCCTTACACACTTGGCTCTTTGGTAGCAGAGATTTCAAACCCTCATAACTCAAGTCTTTCAGCATCATTCTGTGCTGATTCAAGCTGATTTTTTTAACCTCAAAGTCCTGCTAAGCTGCTTTGAGATATTCCAGACATTTTTCAACCATTTATTTTTATTGAAACCAGCCAAGTCTCTGTATATATTGGGCTTTTTTTTTATCTTTTTAATATACAAATCAGTTTAAAATAGTGTGTAAGTCAGGAATGATTTGCAAATTAAACTGTCAAACCCTGGCAGGAGTAGCAACTGACGCCCTTCGTTTGAAATCTCCTGGCTGCTGTTGCTGTGAGTGCAGATCTCTAGAAGGTGCCACACAACCTGCTTGTGCTTTCCTGGAAAATTCAGCCATCCTTTGACTTTAGGAGAATCTTACAGTTCCTGAAAATGCTGCCGCATGTAATTCTCTAATGGGATCACCTGGCCAAGGGAAGGGATGTGACATTTTAGGAGTCAGATGCTGGGGCTATGGTTGTGCCAATACATTGGGCAAATGTCTTCTGGCTGCCAGCACTATTCTGCTCCCATGACAGGGCAGGAATAGCCTCCAGTCAGGAAGAAGCTGCTCCAATGGAGGAAGGATTCAAAAGAATAAGCGCCATGTTCAGGAAACAAGACTTGGTTGGAGCCACATATTGGCCTGACCATCCCTGTCACAGCAGAAAATGGCCTGTGCCCTCCATGAGCATCAATGCACCCTGCTTGGACTCAGCAACCCCATCTATTTCTCTGGGCCATTTGCCACATGGCTGGCTCAAACATGACCATGTGTAGGTCCCCCGACTTTCCCTTCTCCTTTGCTCCCTTGGCATAGTTCACTTCTCTGTTCTTGCTCAGGCCTTAAAATCACTTTTGCACAGGGCAGAGGAAGAGAAATTTGAAGTGGGGATTGTGTGTCTTCTCCAAAACATGCACCTAGAACCACTGGAAGATAGTAATCATAAACCCAGGTATTGTCCTAGCGATTATTGGTAATCCCATATTGATAGATGAGGTGCTCAGAGAGTACAGCAATATATATAACTACTGAAGATGTACAAATATGTTGGTTAAAATGTTCTTGGGTGACAATATTTTGAGCCCTAAGGAATGCTGACATACCCATCAATATACCTCTGTTTCTTTTCTTCCAGATCACTGGGAAGTCAGTGACCATGCCAACCTCCTCCACCCAACTGCCAGCCCTTGACTCTATCAACTCCACCCAGCAACCCAACTCCAGCATCTACTTGTTCTCCAAGTTCATCCATCCTGACAAAGAATTGTACACAGAATTTTACAGCCTGTGGATTGCCCTGATGGTAGTCAATGCCATCATTTTCCTGGTGGGTGTTGTGCTGAACAGCTTGGCACTGTATGTCTTCTGCTTCCGTACCAAGACAAAAACCACCTCTGTTATTTACACCATCAACTTGATTGTTACTGATCTCTTGGTGGGCTTTTCCTTGCCTGTCCGGATCATCATGTTCTATAGTGCAGGGGACTGCCTGAATTGTTCCTTGGTTCATATCTTTGGCTACTTTGTCAACATGTACTGCAGCATCCTTTTCTTGACGTGCATCTGTGTTGACCGCTATCTGGCAATTGTACAGGTGGAGGCCTCACGTAAATGGAGGAACCCCACCTGTGCCAAGGGGATCTGCGTCTTCATTTGGATCTTTGCCACTGTGGTGACTTTCTCCATCCTGACTATGGCAATACAGTTTGCTGCATGCTGCCTCTCCAAGATTCTGCTCCTAATGGTCTGCGAGTACTTCTTCCCCCTCATCATAATCATCTTCTTCACCACCAGGATTATGTGTGCTCTGTCCAAGCCCAGCCTCATGCACCAGAGTCGGGAGAGGAGAATGAGGGCTGTGCAACTCCTTACCACCGTCCTCATCATCTTCATGATCTGCTTCACTCCTTTTCACGTGCGACAGGTAGCAATCTCCATCAACCCAGACATGCCCCATGATGTCAGCCTCCTTGTCTACCATGTGACAGTGACTCTGAGTAGCCTCAACAGCTGCATGGACCCCATTGTCTACTGCTTTGTCACCAATAACTTTCAGTCAACTATGAAAAACATCTTCAGGAAAACTGAGCCAGCGCAAAGCAGTGTGGACATCCTGGGTATGAACAAGAACACCAAGGGCTCCAATGCAATCATCGCCTTCTCAAACACAATAGGAAGCCCTGTGAGCTTGCCATCACCAAACAGCGTCCAGATATAACCCACATCTGATGGGACACACTGCAGTAAGCCAGTGTAATGCTGGAATATTGCTAGGATGCATGGTACTATTGTCTTTGACCTCTTTGGTTTTTAGGCTGAGGTTCAGAATGACAGTGGTGGAATTTATTCCTCAAGAACATTGTGGTCTGTTTGGAAAATGGAACTTGCAGTGCTGTTAGTACCAATACAAAAGAGAGTCTATTAATTACTGTTCCCAACAGGAAAGTTTTCTTTGTATTTTAATACAGACATTTTGCTAGCAACAAATTCTTACTGTGGTTTTCTTTTCGTGTTTGACATCATAATGCAACACTCCTAGGATGACTTAGAAAGCAGGAAATCTCTATTTTCTATGAAAGCTTTTGGGCCTTGGGCATGTGCTTAGGAGTAAAGGATAAGCGGGATGTTTCCAGAGCTACCCACTACAAAGATTTTAGATGTCAATGGAGTGAGAAAGAAAGTAATCCAACCCACCTGTGACTAGTAACTACTCATTTGTTTCTGAAAAAGTCTGAACCTTCTCAGGGACGAGAAGATGGAGTCAAGTGGTAAAGTCTCCTCTCACTATTTCAGCTATAATAAAAAACACACGTGGGTGTATATGTTTTCATAACATTGCGTGGGCTTGGGGAGAGGTTAAGGATATATTCCACCTTCCTTTGGATCACTAAATCCCCTAAACTGCAGATGAGCATAGAAAAAAGCTGTGAAAATGAACATGCTTTCCAGCAAACTCTGCTGTTCTGCTCTCTCTCCCTGAAGAACAGCCAAGATGAAAAGCAGAACCAGACTATGATGCTATACTACTCTTGTTTGATTTTTCTTCCTGGCATGTTGTGAAATCAGGGCTTGCTGTCCTAATTCCCACTATCAGTCCATCCACTCAGTCACTTAAATGCTGATGCTTCCAAGGACAGAAAAAGAATCCATCTCAGGCATGCAGGTTGAAATTCACCCCAGTATAAAGTCACTAGGATGATTTAAGAGCCATGTTTAAAAGGTATATGAGGCTAAGTATGCTGGAAAATTCTGTCCACAACAGTGGGAAAATGTTTTAGATTACGCTGTACCAATTAAGCAATGCGAATACAAAAAATTACCCTAGGAAAACAGCAAAACCTGCAGCATGAACAGTAATAACTGTTGTTACTGCTCCATGTGTCCTCACTCATATGCCTATTGCCCCTCCAGCTGGAAGGCTACTATGAATTCATCTAGTCTAGTGAACGGCTTTTCCTGGCACTCACTGGTGTTACTATTCAGAACAGCAGGATTTATGGTTGATCCAAGCTAGGGCATCCTAGAGTACTCTGCTTCCCCGGGGTCTGACCATGGAACAGTCATCTCCATTTCATAGGAACACAACATAACCAGTGCTTCAAACTGCCTCTTGCACTGCGTTTGCAAGAGTTTGCCTCTTGCAACACATATATGTTTCCCCTAACCTGTTTCCCTGACCAATCCAATGGTAATAAAAATTGAACAGTCAACATCACTGCAATACAGGGATCTATCCAGAGATGCGTATAGTTGTCCCTAGGAGCACTGGGTATCCCAGTTCCTGTTCTGGGCAGTGGAGTCCATGGAGAGCTGTTCAGCTCATGGAAGCAGAGACCTCCCAGCTGAGTGACCCTGGCCTCCGTGTTGCCTGGATCTCCAGGGATCTAACAGGAGCCCAGACACCACCTGCATATGGAGACGCTTTAGTGTATGCATGCATCTTAATCCAGCACCAAAGTCCCCCAAAGGAAGGACTCAGTTGCCAATAGACCAGTGCCTAATGCCATGGTAGGCATGACGGGGTGTCACCGCACCTCTAGCTCCTGCTGCGCAAGACTGTGGTTCTCCTGCAAGTCCTGCACTTGTCCAGATGGCCCTACCCTCAGGCACAGCTGAGTCCTGTGCCTGAAATAAAATTATGTATCTGGAATCTACAAATGGGCAGTCTTCAGTCAGCTAGTGCAGGACCTGCAGGTCTCACCCAGAACATCAGCACGACGCTGTCAGCTGCAGTTGGTCCATTAACTCAGGCTCTTGATTGTCCTAGGGCACAGCAATTGCCATTGCTGAGTATGTGATCTCTTTGAGGCTTTCCAAAGCAATACAGCTGACTCAGTGTCCTTTTGCTGGGAGCTCTATTCCTTTGAAGAGGATTTTCCTTCCAAGAGGTTGTGATGAGGGCCACCAACAGTGTGGCACTACCCCATGGAATGTAAGACTGTTGTCCTGGTCATTGTTTCCCATTCTAGACATGGCCATGAACATGGTGAGCCTTCCCAGGACCTAACTGTACTGTGTTTTCCTTCTGCCTCATCTATTTCCTTATTCATCTGCAAATCACTGACATAAGCACCTAACAGCCGACGCCACCTTCTTGGCAGCTCTCTGTTGATGCATCAGCACACACAGATGAGGCTCTGACTTCTCAGCCAGGCTAGCCACTTCATATTTCTGCCACCGTTTTCCGCCAGCCCCTCATTTGGAGAAAATATTTTATGCCTCAAAGGTCTGCACTTCCCTGCAAACCCCAAAAACTCCTGCCCATCAACCCACAACGTGCTCTCAGACCTTTCCCATGCCACCTAAGCTGTTTATAATGAGAATGGGTCTCACATATACAGATCTGTTAACAGTACTGTCTTTTGCCAAGACTATTGCAGAGAAACAGGAGGAAAAATGCAGGCTTAGTGCATAGCTTATTTTAGTTTTTTCGTTCCAACAAGCTACAGCTTCACACCTCCCTTTCTTTTGCTATCGACAGCATTTTTGCCATATACAGAAGTGTCTTAGCATCTTTCTCAGTGCAGTTGCTCATTTGAGGTCACGATAAAACCTCTAAGATTCTTTGCTTAGATTTTTAAGTTCCTAAACAGGAACTTAAAACAATCTTAGTTGAAGCTCTCTTTCTTCTGTAAACTTAACTTGTAGTAGTCTGAATTCCCTTTACTGTCAGTGTATTATTCACTCCCCATAAAAGCCACCTGAGATTGGATAATTCTCTTTATTTGGTAATGTCTATTGTCTTATCCAGAGCTTTCAGTGGTCCTTCTTCATTTTATACCAGCTCCAAAGCAAGGTCTTGTCCCTTATCAAGGACACAGTCTCCAAAAATTGGAAAGAGGCTAAATCATCCACAAACTAGCTTATTTTTTCAGTGACTTTTTGTGTTCTTTGTTTAATCCATATTGTTTACACATCTTGCTTTTCCTCAGGGTGCAGCAGTTGCTAAACTTCTGTCCTATTTAAAATCACCCATTTCTGCTCATGGCACAATGTTTAAAATCAGTACCGAAAACTCAGCTATCGTCAGAAATACTCTTCCAAATGGCACAGTTTTGGTGGACACCTTCCACCTGCCAGTTCTCATTGCTGCTGAAGCCTCCCTCAGTTCTCTGTGTTTCTGGAGACTGGGGCCAGGTCTCTTGCCCCTTGACCTGCACCATCCCTCTGCTCGGGGTATCTCCTTGGGTTGCGTCTTAGTGATCACCAACAGGGATTGCAATAGTCCTATTCCTACGCCAACCTGCCCTTTCTCTGATGAGAACAGCCACACATGACACAATAGGGAAGCCTCCAAGGCCAATGTGAGTAACTTAATGCATCATTAAATACACACAGAGATTGCTAAGGTAAAGCACATACAAGTCAGCTTTTGCAAGGCAGTCTTTTATGCAGAGTATTTAAAGATTTAGATGCCAAATTCCCAACGGTTTCAAACAAAATCAGGCACTTAACAGTCTTTGAGGATCTGGATCATTACCCAGAGGCTGAAATAGTAATAGGGATGGATGGGCGTTGCATATCATACTACCACCACCAAGTCTGCAGTAGACAGAATACAGCATTCCCTAAAGAGCTTAACAACAATAAAGAGCTCCATAAAAAGCCCCGACCTTCCAGGGGAATTATAGCATTCATTCCTCTTTGATGTGCTGTGGTTCTCTTGTGCATCTAAAATCCTATAAAGCGGATTAGAAATATCCTCTTCTACCAGTTGCCCAGAGGCTAGGAAAAAAAGACTGTGAAAAATCTCACATGTGTTTCTTGGGATCTCAGCCATTCCTGTGACAAGAGATCTCTGCTAACCATGAGCTCGCCTGCCTGAGTCACAACACACAGATGTCTGTAGTCTTTTGGCATGCCAGGGGATGGGTATCCAGGAATAAAGTTTAGCTTCTTTCTCTCCCTGCTGTGTTTCACCTGTGTTGCATCCAGCACAGCCCATGTTTCAAAGCACTTCTGTCTTTGCAAGGCATTTCCTATTACAGCCCAGAAACCTGTAGCGAGGCAGAAGTGCAGAATAGCCAGCCCTCAGTCATACCGCAAACATATCTGGGCCCAGCAAAGATGAAAATCTCCAATTCTGCTCCAGAAAAGGAGCCCCCACACACATGGGCTTATCTGCCAGCCTAGCTTCCTCCTGGGCTCTGAGCAAGCTCTGCCTTCCCTCCACAACCGTCTCGATAACTGCAAAGAGGAAACAGCACAGCTATGTGCAAAGGCAATTTCTTCCTTCCTTGTCCCTCTGGGGTTTGCTGCCCCTCAGACGTGTGCACAAGAGTCTCATTAGTCAGCCTAATCAGCATCAATAAATACTGTTAGCAGGTGTAGGCTTGACTTGCGGAAAGGCTGAGGAAAGTGGAATTGCCCATGTTAGGGCTATCAGCACAGGCCACCTGCATTAGCACTGAAGAAACACGGGCCTGCCACCCTGCCTATTCTGTACTGTTGGCTGCCAAGAGGGAGCCAACGGGTTAAACAACAAGTGGAGCTCCATGGAGGGGAGGGCTGGTGAGAACAAGGACAAGGAAGCTAATACAGGGGAAAGCAGTCAGGGAACACAGGGACCTGATATCCAGCAAAGGATGATACAGGAAAACAAGTGAGGGCTTGGCTTGCTTTTCCCCTTCTGGGCATCATTAATCCCAAAACAGAAGCTCTGGGGAGGATTCCAATGCTTGGATCAAAGCTGGAAGACTCCCATTTTAGGAAGAAAAAGCCTGAAAGCAGAGCACTTTATCCCCTTCCCATGGTGAGGCCCCAGAAGGGGACAAGAGTGATCTCCCCACATCCGCCTGAGCTTTTGTGGTCTTGTGGTAGAAAACAGGAAGGACTTATGTGGGCTGGGAAAAAGGAAGAGGGCCTTTGTCCCTTCACCCTTGGGAAGAGGGTACAGGGGGTGCAGGAGGGGATCTGGTGCGGTGTGCATGCTCATGGGCTATTAGCAGCATCCATTGTGTATGTTGGCTACCTGATGAGCACGATCATCATGGGAAGTGCTAGGTGATGCTTATGCTAGATGGTGCCACCTGAAATGTCACATCACAGCACATGTCCCATGCTCTGCAGGGCATTCCAGGCAGAGGCAGACTGGAAGATTGCAGCATGTCCCCAAGCACAAGAAATTATTGATTACTTCACTGCAGTATTTCAGTGCTTTGTGGTAGGTACTGTTCAGCTACTGGGACCTAACAGGGATGGAGGGGGAAAAATCCACTGCGATAGTCACCCACTTCCCATCTCCCTGATCCCTTCTTATCCACATGCA